ATCACCATCCCCCACATCCCCATGCTCAGCCTAGGCACAGGCAGGAAGATCAGACCCCAGAGAATGCCCCAGCCTGGGTGCCTAGCCCCAGTTCATGGACACTCCTGGGTCTGTGCCTCTGACTCCCAGAATGAGCAGCTTGGTGCTCACCAAGGGCTGTGTCCGGGGGGAGCCTCATATCCTCCCCCTGCAGTGCAGGGATGTGGGGGCTCTGTGTGGGACTGCATGGGGCAGTCAAGGCTGTGGCACGGACCCATGAGAGCCCTGTCCTTGTCTCCCCTCGCACCTGCAGCCCCACTGGCAGCAGCCGCTACGCCTCATCAGCCGAGCTGAGCCAGGGCAGCTCCCAGCTGAGCGAGGACTTTGAGAACGAGAGCCTGCGGGACTCGGAGCTGGATGAGCGGGACGGAGACTCCTACCACTCCTGCCACAGCTCTGTCAGCTACCACAAGGACTCACCCCACTGGGAGGAGGAGGACGATGACCTCTATCTGGAGGAGGAGGAAGAGTTCAATGAGGATTACAGTGAGAATGAGGAAGGCTACCCCAAGGAGGAGGAGGAGGAGCTGCAGGAGCAGGGCACCTATGAAACCCCCAAGCATGATGCTTACCCCCCACTGCAGAAAGCCCCTGGGCAGCAGCAGCAACAGCTCCCACAGCATCAGCCACAGCAACCCCAGCTGGTCCCACAGATGAAGCTTCAGCAGCAGGAGAGGAAGGAGGAGAAGGACACCTCTGCCCACCAGGAAACCTCAGAGGCCCCGCAGGCCCAGCAGGGAGCAGACGAAGCTCCCCTGCAAGAGGTGGCCCCCGAGCCCGAGTCCCCGAAACCATCTGAGAGGTAGGAGTGAGATGTTGACCTATGGCGTCTTTGGGATGGTGGCACCATTTTGGGTGACACTGGGGTGCTCTGGCTAGCGCTGGTGCTGCCAGTGCCAAGGGTCAGTGCCAGGGACCTTCTGTGGTGTCTAGGGCTTTTTCAGGTGCCTGAGGCATTGTGGTGGGGGAAGCCCACCTTGTGCTACCCAGGCGAGGGTCAGCCCCCTCAGGCAGCCTCCAGTGCCACACTAAGAAGGGGCAGAGCTCAAGGCATTGGAGATCCTGCCAGGGGTGCTGGTTTTACCCTGGGACAAACCTGGGGAGGGGGAACTTGGGGCTTGGGGCTAAGATTCCTCTCCTCTGGCTCAACCTGTTGGCTTCCTGGATGGAGGGTGTATCTCGGAGCTCAGCATGGTCAGAGGAGGCAATTTTCTTCACAGGAGTCAATCCTCTCTCTAGGCCACTGGTAAAAGTTCATTCGTGGTCCACCATGCTGTACAGTTGAATTATTTGGTGGCCAGGTCCCTGATACAGGATACAGTGTGTGACTGTCTCTCCCTTTAATTAATGAACACGTCCATTTTTCCCTGGTTTGGTGAGCGCCACCACTCTGTGCAGAGGGGAAGCATGATGGGCTTTTTTTGATCATTTATCTAGTTTAAAATATGAACCAGATCTGTGAATATCTAATTTAAAAGAATGTGTAATAAACTTTTTTTAAAAAACCAAACATATTTAGGCCCAAGGACTGGCTAGAGTCCTGGAGAAAGTGGCCTTAGGTCATGTCTGCCTCTGGTGCCTGTTGTCTGAGCAAGAGGCTTGGGGGGTCCTGTGCTGGGCACTGAGGACCCCAGATTAGCACTGGGGACCACATATTAGTACAGGGCAGGCCCCACAGGGCTGGTTTGGGCAGGTCATCTCCTGAGCTCCCCACAGCCTCATCCCAGCCAGGTTCTGGGCACCCATCTCCAGTGTCACATTACACCAGGCTTTTCAGGATGCTGGGGTGTTTGAAGGGTTTCTTTTCTTTTCCTCTGTGTCTTGATTTTGCAAGAAAGGAGAAAAAAACCTCACAACAATCAGCATGTCCAGGCTGGCAAGTCCCCATGGCCCTGAGCCACTGGGGTGTTGGGACCTCTTACCCCCAGGAGGTCCCAGTGTAGTGGGAAATGGCTGGAGGATGTCCTACTGCTGACATGAGGAGTGAAGTATGTTTAATCCATGTGCTTATGTCACTGGCAGTCCCCTGACCCTTTGCTCCTGAAAGGATCCTTCTGTCTTCCTTGAGCGGCCAGGGCAGGATCTCCCAAGGGAGGGGAAACTCATGGTTTCTTCCCACCGCTCTGCCTTGACTGTGCTGCCCTTTGCAGCAGGACTTGATAACTTTTTTAGAGTCTTTCCTGGTAGCAAGAGCTTTTTTTTTTTTTTTTGCCATGGCCACACTGGCTCAAGGCCCATCAGGATCCTTAAATTGCAAACTCAGTCCTGTCTGGAGTGTGGGGGCTGACTCCCCCCTCCCCAGTGACATGCTGGGAGGTAAGCAAGGTGTGTGTGCTTGCAGGGAGCAGTCAGAGGTGGAAGTGCAGGACCCGAAAGCACGAGCCAAAGCCAACTGGCTGAGAGCCTTCAACAAGGTCTGCATGCAGCTGCAGGAGGTGAGCAAGCCTGCGGCCACCTGTCACCGGCTCCCAGTGCTGGCCATGAGCTGGCTTGGGGGTCATGGCCCTTTCCCATGCTCACGCATCTTCCAGACGTGTCCACTCCCTGATCCCATGGACATCCCACACCCTGAGGGCAGTGGGGACATGAAGGCGCCCAAGAGTGGTGGCCTCTCAACCCCATTCATGCAAGGTGGGACTCCCACGAGGGGCAGGGAGTGCTGAGGACCTTCTCCTGGTGTGAGCTGCATGTGGTGTGCTGGTGCGAGCCCCTCTGCCCTCTCTCCTGTGTTGAGCTGACAATTTTTTGTTCTGTTTTTAGACTCCACCCTCCATCTTTTATTTTTGTTTTGGCTCTGGATTTGCTCCCTGGGGCTGTGATCCCCCTCCCCACTGCTTCTCTTTTCAGTTGTCCACCACCATGGCCCTTGTGCTCACGTCTCCCCTTCCTGCAGGGAAGGGGGGTAGCCTGCCAGCAGGTAAGCATGTCCAAGAGGAATGACCCAGCAACGTGTGTGCCCTCTGTGTGTGTGTGTGCAGGGATTTCCCAGTGAGGGAGGTGTAATTGTCTTTTTCCTCCCTTCTCCCCCAAAATCACCTCCCTGCAAGGGAGGTGGTGCTGCGGGACGGTCCCTGCACCTACCCCATCACCTGTGTGCTCTGGCTTTTCCCTGCACTTCTTTCCACCTGGTCATGGGTCTGTGCAGACCTGCTGAGTCTTTCCAACAATGCTTCTCCAGTCCCCCAACCCTGAGTTTTGGTATGGTGCAGCCATCCTCACTGCTTTGCCAGCCCGAGCCCCCTGCTGAAACCTGCCCATCGCCTGCTCACCTCAGCCTCTTGAAGATACTTTATTCCTAGCCCAAGCTCCTTGCTGGAAAGAGCTCTGTTGTGTTAGGAACACACTTCTCACTGCCCACCCTGTAAACCCTTTACATGCTTCCCCAGTGCTGGCAGTGCTGGCTGGGTGCTGGGCTGCCAGCAGTGCTGAGCCCTGGGGAGGGCTCTGTGTGGGCCAGGGGCTCAGCCCTGCACCTGTGACAGCTGCTCTGTGTCTTGCAGGCCCGCGGGGACGGTGATGGAGAAGCTAAATCCCTATGGTTCAAAGGCGGGTGAGTATGTGGGGAAGCTTGTACTTTCTGCCCCCCGGGGATGTCATGGGCTGCTCTCCCCTCATCATTAGGATGTGATTAATGAACTCGTTGGGGGGCTGTCATGGGGAAGTGTTGCCAAGCCATGGGCATTCTGGGGGACCAGATTTTTGGGCTGAATGCTGGTCGCTTGGTGCTTTTGGAGGAGCCAGCAGAGATGCCACCGCTCCATGTCCCCAAGAGCCACTGCTGAGGGGGAGAGTGAGGAAGTGATTGGGTTGGGACTGACCTGGGGTGGCAGCTCCCACTTCTCTGGGGGCTCAAGTGGTGTTGTGGGGAACCCTTGTCCTCTCACTTGGCCAGGCTGTGGGTCTCACCCTGTCTCGCCCTTGCAGGTGGCCCTGCTGCTGACCCAGCAGAACCTAGCAGGTTTCCTTGAGTCCCCCCAGATCATGCCAGGGTTCTCTCACAGACAGGCTGGATGCAGCGAAGCAACATTTCTGTCTGCGCTGTGCTGCCTCGACTTCTCTTGCAACAGAATGGCTAGGTGCTCAGCTTGGGTGTCCCAGAGGGAAATCCCAGCTCTCCTGCTCCACACTGCAAAGGCAAAGCTAATGAAGCCACATGAGCTGTTTTGTTCCTGCGTTTCACTGTCACACCACTGAAGCTAAACATCTACATGTGGGGAAAATCACAGCTTTCCGCCAGAATCCCCTTCACCCTCAGTTTTTAGCCTGGTGATCCCTGCCCTGGCTGAAGTGGTAGTGGGCATGGGGGTCCAATCTGGAGGTTGGACCCCCATTTCTGCAGCTGTGTATGCCAGTTCACAAGCAAACACGGAGCAGTATCAGGGGACTCCTTCTTGCCTCAGTTTCCCCTTCCCGCTGACTCTCGTCTCTCTTGCAGGCCTGGTGGCGGGCTGATCATTATAGACAGCATGCCGGACATACGCAAGCGAAAACCCATCCCCCTAGTTAGCGATTTGGTGAGGTTCCTCCTAATGCCTTGCACCACACAGCTGCCAGCTTTGCTCCCGCTGCATCTCACTGGACTGTGCTGCCTGCCCACCCCGGCTGCACTTGCCGGACGCCTGTGCCCTGCTCCCCAGCTGCCTCTAACATGGCTTGTGTTTTCTGTTTTCTTTTCTCTGGCCTGGCTGGGCCGTCTCTGGCGGCAGGCGGGCGGCAGTAAGGTTTCTGCGCTGCATTAACAGCATGCCTGACATTAAGCCTGGACGCAAATCTCTCCCTCTTGTCAGCGATCTGGTGAGCGCAGTCTGAGGGGTTAAAGAGAGCGTACCCTTGGGTGCTGCCCAGACACTCCAGCCCCACTGGCAAGGGGCAGGGGTGCCCAGGCTGTTTTGGGGGTCTCCTGGCTCTCCCTACCTGAAGGTGCTTCTCTTTAATGGAGCTCCAGGGTCCTGTCCCTACGCCAAGCATCAGCCCAAGGCTTCCCAGGGCTGCATCTGGTTTCCCATTTTTTTACTAGTGCTGTGTCCCCAGTCCCTTCCTGTCCCCCCTGCCTTAGGCTCCCTGCAGCTTGGACCACGCTGGTGCCAGGCAGATGGACCCCTGTACTAGAGGAGGGGTAGCGCTGACTTTTCTGAGCCGCACATACCCTATCCTCCTGTCCCCACCGTGGTCACACTGTGCCACTCTAGCCCAAACTGATGCTGGTGTCCCATCTAGCCTCTGGGCTGTAATGCAAAGGGTCGCTCTGCTGTCACCCCCCTGGGTGACAACAGACAGCAACTTTGGAAACCAGACACCCTTTGCACCCAGAATTAGGTGCCCTTTGCCTTCTTCCCCCTCTTTATACCTCACTGCCTCCACATGGTGCCCTCCCTAGGGTACCTCCATCCTGTCCCCAACCTATCTGACCCCACCCATCCCGGTGCCCCCCCTCCCTCCCCCCCTTCCTCCTTGCTGCCCTCACCCCAGTGCCCTCCACTCCCCAGCCTGCTCGGGCAGCCGCTGATGCTTCTGCACTGTGCTGTGTGGGTGTCAGGGATTTGGGGTGTTGGCCTGTGGGTGGTCATGTGGTGGGCAGAATGTGGGCATCAGGTGGGATTTGGCAGCCAGTGCTGTGGCTTGGGTGGGGGACCCCCGGGGGGGGGGGCGGGGGCGACG